TGTGTTTTCAAGTCCGATCAACTGGGACGATGTCCTACAGCAGAGATCACTCCTCCCTGTTGTCCCCAGCATCAGTCAGAGACAAGTACTGACTACTTTGAGAGGAGTTTACAACCGACGCAACCCTGAACTGACACTCCACCAGATGATGTATATACTCGACACGACTCCGACTTTGCCTCTCTCTCCTCCTCTTCTCTTCCCTCCCTCTGGGCGTAGGTCCCTCAGCAGGATTATGGTGACCTTTCAAAGATTTTTGACTTCGTATACACATTATTCATGAGCAAATAGATCAAGACCATTGTGCAGGGTAATAGATAGATTCATTCTCGCCATCTTTTGTGCTGTTAGAACAAATGTCATGGAGACTGCGGAGAACACATTAATAACTCATAACGTGTATCCTGTACACATATTAGCATACACATCGTAGTAATACAAAAGTCACGACGATACAGAGATCACACTAGTAAAAAACAAGACAAGTAAAAAAGGAGGAGACAGCCATGGAGACAACAACGGAGACCGAGAGACAGGGTGATGGCATTGACCACGCCCACTGCCGCCTGTGGGTAATGCATTACGACAGGTCGTCTGAGGAGACTTGCTCTTCCCGATGACCAGAGGAACGTCGTCGAGAATGTGAAATAGTCACCAGGTGGGGATGCTGTCAAATGCATGTCCTTCGACTTCACCTGAGAGAGAGGGGAGCGGGGATAGAGGGGGAGAGGGGAGCTTCTAATAAACCAGTTTGGTGACCCACGCTGATATAATAGTCTGACAGTCACATGTGTGCGGCGGCTATGCCCCATGAGCTTCTGACAGTACAGAGAATGGTCGAAGTGATGCCATATATCCTGCCAACAGACATACATGTGTGCCCCATGAAAATGGATCAAGGAAACAGCTTCGCCTACTATTCACATACTTAGAAGCCCTCAGTGTATGCTCGCCTATACGTCTCCAGCCTCCTGATTTGATGAACTCAACTGTCTACATGGTGCCCGTACTGGAAATAGAGGCCGCATACACAAGACTGTATGCTGTAGTATGTAGGTAATGACCTTGCCAGCTACTGTTCATCAGCAGAAGATGCTGAGGCCCGCGCTGCAGCTATGACCAGGGAGAACAAACTGTCCCTGTATCTTGATGACTGGGGCCTCCTCTCACACAGAAACGCTCCCTCTGTCTCCAGCCGAATGCTCGACTCCACCCGACGTATCCGACCGTGGTAATAGTGACCCTGATGCGTCGGCGTGCGCCAGTCTGGCTGAGGCGGCATCTGTCACGGTATGACTGCAGAGAGAGAGAGACGAGAGACGAGAGAAAGATAGCGATTCATTAACTCGTGTGCGATGCTTATAGCATCATGAATTATCACGAGCGCATATAATGAGTTGGAGAATTGTGAAAACTGGCCATGCTGGCGTGAACTTCACGCCCAGTCCCATTACTGCTATATACACCGCACACACCAGACGTTAATGCAATGGCGTAGTTAGAACCTGAAATGATATAGGAAGATGGCTATGATGCCCTGTGGTAGTAGATAGCAACCCTCATTGTGCATTGAGTTTGTCAGAGGTGAAGTGCATGATTCGGCAGCCCCATCGTTTTGTGAATTCATGTAGCACAGATGTTGAGAGCCACTACACACCGTGTTGCAGCTGCCCCGTTCAATTCCTCTCCTCCTCCTCCTCAGCGGCAGCCCCGCCCCCAAACCCCACGTCGGGAACGAATGGCGTAAAATTGTGTCTGATCAAACTTGTCGTGATCCTCGTTCGTGTGACGCGATCGTAGCTGCCTCCCTCATTTCTCATGGTTCTCCATCTTTCCTCCCACGACCACGAATCCGTTGCATAGTGGATGACTAAGTGCTGGATCATCATATATCGGAGAGCGGCGGGACGGCGGTTTGGCTGGCGAGGCCACGCGACCTGGGGCGGGTCCTCTGGCCACGTATTTGGCGCACCCTGAAACCCTGACCTACCATGTGGGGCCGGTGGAGGAGGCGTTATTTCGCGAGCCTTTGGCACCGAAGAGGGTAGGCCGAGGACGATCGCTTCTAGGGTCTTTGCAGCTGAGAGAGGGTGATAAATTCAGAATCGCTAAAGAGAGTTAAATGTACGATAAGTAGGGCCACTGAATCTGGTCTCAGTGCAAAATCAGCATGCATCATACAATGTAAATGGCCTAAGTGAAGCTGTCGCATACAACTCATACAGTCACATAGTAAGATGAGTGCACACTCCATACTGTCATGACATGCACGCATATGTCACATAGGCCAACTCTTCCATCGTACACACTTCATGCATGCATTCACAAAATCAGCTGATGTAAATTATGTGGGTGGTGCAACGGGAAACCGGAAACGGAACGGCGCGTACCGGAAGAAGAGATAACTTCCTGTATGTGTGTCAAGACACTCTCATCAGCAACAGCCGATCATTGGAGCCTAGGAGACCGTTGGACTGGAGGGATGTGAGGTGTGGAGGAACTGTGGAAGGCAGAGTGCGAGCAGAGGTGTGAGGGGATGTGGAGGGGACTTGTGCGACGTGGTGTGCGTTCGCGGATCGTCGTAGTCGTTGCCATGGAGATATTGCCCAAGCAGAGCCGCCTCAGCGACCTGGAGGTAATGAAGGTTTCACAGCAGACAACGAGCCTGTCGGGTCGTCGTAACGTTCAGACATGACCTCCGCTGACTCCGAAGCATGTGATGATGAGGACGCAAACGACTTCTTTGCCTAGGGGTGGCATTTCGGGCTCGTGCGCAACGCGGTGCGATGGTTATGGCGAGGAGACGTCTAGTCTGGTCCTGACCGAACTGCCAGAATCCCATTGTGGATTACAATGGCACCTAGACAATTATGTCAAATTAATCATTGGTTTAAACAAACACACAGTGTCTGAGATTTCAGCAGTTTAAAAGATAGCTATACTACATAACAATTTGCCAGGACATCGTCGGTGATGAAATGCAACCTGTGTTGCTGGAGACAATGCATTAGCCGTTTGATCGAGGCGGCGGAGGTCAGCTGCGTCAATGAGTTCAGAGTTCGCAGAGGTCAGGACCGGACCGACTGCGTTATCGTCATATCCAGGCAGCGTAATAGTCTCTTCACAAGAGGCTGGGGGAGGGAGGGGAAGGTGGTTGCCCAACCAATATTTAGTCAGTTGTAACATTCTCTAATCCAGACACCACATGGGAAACCAAGAAGTGTCCGTATTAGGAGCTGGATTTGTCTTATTCCAGGGATTGAGTTGCACGCAAGAACTGTTCTTGGGAAAGAAACGCGAGTTTCCTTATAGGTAAGTGTCCTCATGTCTTTAGAGCAGGAAGGTTCACTGTAACACAAGCGCCACTTGCCACACAGAGAGAATAATCAAACACACTCAAAGCAGAACAAACAAGGATGGCGATTCCGATCAATCTGTTTCCTCAAAGGCACGAAGAAACAGCATATGATTGGCTGGGGCGATATATACAAACCCTTATATAGCACACACGGTGGCGTCTTGTATTCAACACGCCGCTTTCACTATAAGTTTAGTTTGTGTATTCCATGGTACATCGTGCTGACGGTAGACTTCCACCTCACCGACAGTTCATGTGACGACATGTGATCCTCTCCAAGAGTTCGGAAGTAGACCCCACGGAGGGAGGGAAAGGGAAAAGAAGCGGCGTGTCTCTGGAGCACTGGACATGATGGATCGTAGTCGTAAGGATTGATCAAGTATCTGCTGACCAGTACGTTGATAGCGGCCTCCTCATCTTCAGCTACCTGCCAGGAGAGAGGAGAGAGAGATGGAAGTGCTCCACTCAGAACAATGTAACTCAATATGAATGCAAGTGAATGCACTGCAGCGTGTATAGCGAGTGGTGAAACACTCTATGTGACGCGTTGAACACGTAGAATCTGACACAGTAGAGAGCAGAGATGTTTCAGAGACTAGGCACGTTCCAAATTACACTTGCTCTAGTTAAACCACAATGTGCCAGCAACACCCCCATTAGACTAGAGATGAGTGACCAAACTGCTTGGCACTCATTAATGACTGCATCCAAGTTATTTAGACAAACTCGAATGGCCAAGCGTTATGAAGTATCTTGTGCCTTACACAGAGCAACAGGCGTGGACCGAGGCGGGGGACAGAGGGGAGATACTACCGTAGGAAATCCAGGGAGGTGTCAGGCTTGTAGATACGAGATCTTGGACCAGAAACTGTCGTCAGAGATGGCCTGAGAGAGGGAAGAGCAGGATGACAGAGAGGAGAGAGAGAGAGAGGAGAGAGAGGCAGAGAGATTGGGGGGATGAGGCGAGATAGAAGAGAGAGGAGAGAGGAGGAGAGATGAGAGAGGAGAGAGAGGAGAGAGAGGGAAGAGTGCAAGAGAAGGATAGATATGTTATTGCAGGGAAGAGAGTGACTGAAGAGAGAGATGTAGAGGGAGAGAGAGAGATGAGAGATAAACAAGGTGATAGTTTAGTTACACAACCCACTTGGCTGCCCCCCCACTAACAAGCAGGCAGTATATATGACGCCCACCTGATGCTAAGAGCATCAAACTAGAAACTGGGGAAATTCCAGTTCAGTTTACATTGCACAGCCCTCCTCTCCCCCACATGGCCACTAGCCTAACATTTCCAACTGAATCCACATGGGCCACTAGCCGCTCAAACAAGGAACCTTACCATCATAGGTTCAATTCTTTTCTTAGGGGGGGGAACCACCCACAACAGGGGTCTACAACGATATGACGAGGCTACACAGGTAGGAAATATTTAGCCTTTTAAATTATGTTCAATTTGGTAATGCCGTGAATATCTAGTTGTCCCAAATCAAAACCTCCTTTCAAGTCGCTGTGTATCTAGCAATATGTACGTTGGCTATAAGCGTCATTACAAGAGCCTCTGCCCAAATCACTCACAAGCCATTTTGCATTCTTAGGAGGAGGGGAGGTTGCGACGGCTGGCGGTCCGCGGGGACTCGAACGGGAGATAAGAGTAAAATTCCGGCCACCGGGGGGTTGGGACTCGAAAGGGGGTTCCCCCGCGGAGAGGCCCTTTGCCTCGTGGAGTGCCAAGTGAGATCCGACGGGGACCAGGAATACCCGTCCTGATCCTGCGGAGAAAGAAAGAGGTCACAGACCAGTGATGTGTAACGATGTGAGAGGCATGTGACTAGTTGTTCCTGATCTGCATGTGCCGTTCAGCCGGTTATGCGGGGAGAATTGAGGCTACATTTGCTAGCCCTGTAGCGCTAGTTTCAAAGCCTGTCCGATGGTAGATCAGAACGTCATGAGAGCATGGCTAGACTCAAACACATGGCAAGCTGGCAGAGGGGAGGAGGGGGAGAGGTAGCGGGCAGGGGGAGATGCAAGGTATATATTAGATGGTTAGAAAGAGCAGAGATGCAGGAGCGACGAGGGCAAGGAGAGGGAGAGTGGAGAGAGAGAAAGAGAACAGAGATGGCGCCGAGAATATTGAAAAGAATGCTGCCCACATGATAGCCTTACACATACATAAAGTGCTTACATGCACCTATCTCTCATCCTGAAAATGACCTAAAAGAGGCCTAGCTGATGCAGAATCAATCACAAGATTCCACCCGTAACATGAATCTAATTCAGACATTACAAAACCAACGAGATGCTGTGACTCTCAAACTCTGCCTTATAAAACGTGATGCCAGAGACGAGAAGTGCGGTTATGCTTTGCTGATGCCAGGGCTAACATGCACGCAGAGCAAAACACGCTGTCCCAGAGCTCCGCCATCGTTCTTCTCTTGCGCCCTCACATGGTGTATTGTTACATGGGTATGTGTAAAGCTGTATATACCTCTTTCAGGATCGGTACTTGGACCACATAAAGAAAGTTGAAGTCAAGAGTTGGTGACCCAAGATGAGAGGGACGGAGAGGAGAGAAAAGAGGAGGGCGAAGGACACAAGACAGTGGCTACAGTACACTATATAGCACGCGTGTAGAATTAACATCGAGAGATGAACAGGTTTGGCCGACAGCTCGCCGATAATCCAATCATTTGACCATATAAGGCACGAGACCAACACCCACACACTGCAACACGCTTATACACACACAAACAACAGATCTGAATTATTCAGTGTCGTTTCGCTCCATCCCCCCTCTTCCCTCCTCGACACTCTCCATTTCAATAGAAACATTTGTTCTACTTGGGAAAGTGGTATCTGTAAACAGTATATAGGCCAGGGGTGATGCCCGATCCTGATGAGCTCCATGCCTAATAGGAGCCAGTACCACTTGGCCCAACCCCCCAGACTCCTACCCCCCAGGGGACCTTGAGACGAGGTTAGACAATGCACATAGACTTGGGTATCAGGAAGTGTGCCTGTAGGACACACTTAAAAATATCAGGCATCTATCAAAGTCAGCCGACGACATTGTTTAGGACACTTCACTAAAGACTAAAGGTCTAAAGCAGGAGAAGAGGATGGTTTAGGATGATGTGAGCTAGAGCCACTTCAAGTTCTCGGCAAAAACAGGTTTTTAGAAACTGCGTAATGCGTTTGTTCCAATGAGCGTTCTGGCAAGGGGCAAGTGGGGCGGAGCTATGGCAAACTCCGCAGGTAGGCGCGTGAGTTAGACTACCAAGCTGTCTTTCACACACATAGTGCGCCAGACACGAGTACCTAGATACGTGCCTTAAATGTCCGGTCACAATTTGAACTATGCCTTAACGTCAGCTGTGTCAGCTCTAGCAAGCCTATGTAATGGTTGTGCGACCATAATACCAACTAGAGGCCCATGCTGTGCATTCCTCTATACAGTGACAGTGTGTGTGGACTGGACTAGCCCAGCCCACAACACATGCTCACTCACTCCCTCACCAAAGATACCACTCTACATGCTAACTAGGTCGCTCTCTGTTTATCACACACCGTTCGGCTAACAATACACTGAGGTCATACAGAGATCTCTTAGGCCATCGATGGTTGCGCGGACTTTTGACCTCTTCTGATATATCACTAACACAGTCGTTCCCCATTATGAGCTCTCTATATAATGGTCTATGAATGACACGTTAAAAGGTCACCGGCGTGTTCACGTTCCCAGTGCTACATACACACTCAAATACTGGCCAGTATTGCGACAGTTTTAATGGTCCCCAGTGTGCCACCTATGACATCTGCATCGACATGTGTAAAACATACAAGCGTAACAGTCTTGATACACATATGTTATTGCGATCAGCAGCGGCTAATATGTACCTGCTACTACTGGCCTGTATCCATTTCAATGGCCTCCTCCGAGCACATATACACTTACATGGTGCTTGTTGACCACTGACACGAGCGCAGACCACAAGTAGGCCACCGCAGTTTCATAGAGTCACTTCGCCTGCCAACCACACTGCACAAATGGATAGAGTAACATAGTGTACCCTGTCTACTAGACCCGCGCGTAACGAAATACAACATACGTACAGTGCTCCATAGAGAACACAGCAATGAGCCGAGCCACAGTACATCGGATCTGGCCAAGGAGGAGGACAACAGAGAATTCAGACTCAATTGAAACAGCTGCCACGCCAACACACAACACACCTGCGTGAAGCACATGGTACATGAAGATTGGTTCAGCGTAGATATACAGCATCGCCACGGTTCGCCGGCATGTATGGCCGTGAGAGAGAGAGAGAGAGAGAGCCGAGCGCAGCTATGGCTACTTATCGCCCATCTCCACCAGAGGACAACGATATCGACGGCAGAGCGTGTGCGTTCACTTATCTCTGCTCAGATCGTATGAAAATATATAGTCACATGACTAAAATTGGTGTATATTATACAGCGTAGCAAAAGAGTCAACAAACCCATTGAAGTTTGGGCTAAAGGCTCTACGGATTTAGCGAGAGATCGTGCCAGTTGCATGCAACGACTGTAGTTCATCCCAATCACTGCCTATTACTGTATGCTGTCGGCCTAATGAGTATGCTATTTTTGCTGCGTCGTGACCACCAAAAACTACTAAAACTCACGTTCACATTTACAGCAACACATCGACAGTTTGGATAGATGGCATTTAGGTGATACAAAAATACACTGTTGTCATCTGCAATCGTGCCGCCGACAGACTCGAGGTAGTATGTGGAGAAGTCTGCGGCGTACGGCTGTTCTCATTCATCACTGGCATCATGTGTGTGCGTCCAGATGCGTGGCGTCGTGATAACTGTTAAGTTCATACTCAGTGTGCCCCGAGTTAACATACGATAACTGTCCGAAACATCGCTCAGTGATGCCTTCATGCTGAAGTTTCGCTAGGGGTGTTGTCCTTCCTATGAAGCATATTATATATACACTGAGGTACATTTCATTCTGCCTCCTGAAATGTATGCTAGTTACGTGGAGAGCTACTCACCCTGTCATTGGATGAAGCACTGCGAGACTCCCATGCTCGTCCCGCACTCACAGTGTCCCAGCAACCCAGTCTTTCACCGCTAACGCCCTGCCCCATTATCCTGGTATCTGTCGGCACTCCTGCGACGGAAGACATCGGCGATCACTCACTGCGCGTATATATAGGTTCATCCCACGGCATGACGTGATGACATCCGCCATGTTTGAATGCGATTAGAAAACCAGATATTCTCAGATGCCTGTTATCCTGGTTGTATATACCCAGACTCTTTCTCCTTTTGGAGGAGAGAAGAGTCCAGCACTAACGTTTGCACATGCGCGTCATTTCGCCACCTTTTTCCCGCGGATTTCTTTTGTTGTAACTTTAGTTTGAGAGAGACTTGAGTACGAGTGCGACAAGACGCGAGGTGGGGACTCGTGACACTACTGCCTCTCTATGTATAATGCTACCTCATCTCTCTCCTTTACGGCGAGCGCATGCACAGGCAGTCTCTGTATGTCTACTTCATACGACAGGCAACAAGTTCACAAATCTTCGCTACCGCAGGACAGCTAAGGCTACCAGACAGCTTGGCTACCAGGACAGCTCGCTACCAGGACAGCTCGAGCGACCAGAGCGACACGCTCGGCAGTCAGGGCTCGCGAGAGTCAGGCAAACAGCGTGCACAGCTCAAGTGACTTTACGTTATTTGGCTACCCGCTTGTAGTCGCACTAACACCAGCTTATCGTCAGAACATTGCTGGCTGGTGTGGGCACAAATCTAGATCATTATGAATATATAAACTGCATTTTAGCATTTTCAGTACAAATTATTTCGCATTTTCCTTGTTGTTTGCTTACCTCCCAGAGTCTGTTGAGTTGCGTTTTGGAATCTTCGACGGGAGAGAGGGAGAGAGGGGGAGAGAGGGGGAGAGAGGAGGGGTGTGAGGAGAGAGAGAGATAGAGGGATATGAGAGGAGAGAGATTGAGAGAGAGAAAAAGTTTCCAACTACTGAAACTTTTATATAGTTTTGATGGTTTCTGTTTTCCCACTAACATAACATTTACCTCGACAACCAATGAATGAAATAACAAGGAGAAAGACAAAAGTGACGAAGAGAAGTCCCCCTATGTGAACGTTGTACAGTGGACGAATGAACGCTGATGGTATTGTGGTGGATAATGACACCAATACGGGTTAACGAGAGTGAATTAACCATCAAAAGCAAGTCTGGTCTGCCACCAATCTCCCTCTTTGTCCCATCCTACCTCTCACACGCTCCACTCCCAACACCACACCATATTTTGTTTGCCAATACCCCATATAATGGTATGCAATCTAGAGGGTCAAAAACCTTGCACGTGCTTCGAGCCATACATACTGATATGGGTTTGAGTTAAATCTGCTGAACGTTTTTTCTCGTCAAAAATTTTGCGCTTGGTAATAATATATAGCAATCTTACATTTGAAAACGTCGAATTCGTAAATGTAAGATTCTCAATATTTTTACTGCTGGCTGTGTCAGGTATTATACCTTTCTCTTTTGTGGTGCTGAATGTTTTTACCACAGACTCTGCCATCCGTGCTATGCTTCTCCTGGATAGAGGGAGAGAGAAGAGTGGAGAGGGGGAAGGTTATGAGGAATAGAGAAGAGAGGAGAGAGAAGGAAGGGGGAACTAGGGATTGGGGAAAGAAGAGTGGGTAGGGTAAAAGAAATGTTTTTACTGCTAAGAGTGCTAATTCCGAATGTGGGCTTTGATAGATAAGCAAACAATGAGAGAAGAGATGACTTACACATCCCTCATATCAGAGGGTGTAGATTGATGGCTACAACACAGTTTGACATTAATGGGTGGGGGTAGGACAGTAAAAGGAGAGTGGGGAGAGAAGAGAGAGAAAGAGGGAAATGGGGATGAAAATAGAGTAAATAAAGAAAGAGAGAACAGAAAGAGAGAAGAGAGATAGAACCACTTGGTGACCATTGTGTTCTCAGTTGTACTGCAGGGTCCTCATTGAATGGCAAATACTTCGATTGCAGCCCAGGTACTATAGACAACAGATGCGGAGCAAGCATAATACTCCACTATACTTCTCTTCTTTTCATATTGACCCACTATACACACACTATATAGTACAACCGCGCTTGTTTTTTACCAACACATATTGTTGAAACTCTCTTTTCTCTCTTTCCCTCCTCTTTCGCTCTTTCTTCAACTGTTTCTTCCCCTTCCCTCCATTTCCAGAGAGATGAAGGGAGGGCTTACCGACATGATGAGCGCCACTAATAGATGGCTTGAGACCTCTTGCATAAACTCAAAACCACAACCATCAACAACATTTCTCTAACAAAAAATGGAGGACATCCATCCGCTCTAAGGAAACCCCAGGAAACCCAAGGACCTTTAGCACCTTTTTTCGACTCCCGAAAAAAACCGGGACCCCGTTTCTGTTCAAGGAAGAGTACCCCCCCCTAGGAACCCGCAAAAGACCCTTTCTTCTTCCCCTTTTCTCTCCTTTTTCCTCTTTTCCCCCCTTCTCTTCATCTTCCCCTCCCCCACTTTTTCCTTTCCGAATTTTCCTACGTACTCCCCCTTTTTGTTGCCTCTTTCTTTTCATCCGTCCCCTCCCGAGCTCCTGTCTGGGTACCCCGTCCCTGACCAATGTACACTCTTACCATGCCAGACACGTTGACCTTTTTTCCCAAAAAACCATTTGCCTTATGAGGACACCTCATTAACACCAGCCCACTTTTCCTAGTGTTTGGATCACCTCATGTACCTGGTCTAGAAAGATAGGTAATGCAGGTGGCTAATAGGCGATGTGGGGAAGTTTGAATGTGTACCTAAGCTACCTAAACGCAATGAAGACCATCTTTAGCGAGGTGCTAGGTCCTTCAGATTTTTCAAGTGAAAGTCACCCCACCTAGAATTTATCAGTATTCAGTAGGGTAATCCCTGTGATATATCACTGCTCTTGTGAAAAGGTGAAGAGGCTGTAAACTAACCTCCATCACGTCTGAATTGCTAATGTAAGAAACTCAATTGCCTGAAACACCACAACCAACCAAAAAAATAATCAATGCCCCTAAGAACTCTACTCATATACCTACCCACCACCAAACCCACAACCCCCACCTAATTGATCTTAACCTTACTATCCCACCATTTTGTGTTCTAAATCAGTAAGATGCCCCAAAGGACGATGGATGTATGGAGGCGCATATTGCGTCACGTCAACATGGCTTTGAAACTAAAACTGGCAGGAAGGGAGGGATGGCATCGTTAGGAGCTAATGTTGGGGGCCTTTCTCCACTTTGCGACTGGATGGGCGTTCGTACCATGGCTGAAGCCTGGTGCCTCACCCCTGCCCCAAATCTGACATCACACCCACACTACTACTGCCACAGGCTCTCACTGTCACTGGAGACTTGCCCGCAAATTCTAATAGTATGAATCTTCACTAGAAGACTGCTCCTTCACAACCTACGCCACTACACAGTTGAATGAGGCCTCAGTTCATAGTATACAACCGTCCTGTTTTGTTACACATGTACTAACGGTTTCACGGAAACTTTATCCAGAAAACGATTGCAGCTATGCACAAAGAGACCACTATATACACGATCACAGTCCAGCTTGTACTGTATGAACGATGTACTGATGTACCTGTTCCAGAAAGAAGTGCTAAGAAGACTTCGGACAACGGTTTTTGTAGCGAGTGTTTGCTCCTGTTTGCACTGATCTACGGGTGGATCCGCACCGACAGGCGCGGCGGGCGAGAGGCAGAGAGACGGGCTAACCTTGATCTTGTAGTTGATGGAGGACTGGTCCTGGAGCTCGTGGTCATCGTGCAGCCAGCCCGAGGACGGTTTCCGCAGAAACGTCCCCGTACTCGACCAGTCTCCCAGTCCGCCCTCTTCTCTTCGCGTCTTCGGCATCTCTAGCTCCCTGTCGGTTTGTCTCTCCTCAAGCAAGCCAGGTAGACGTCCGAATATTCTTTCTGATCGCTGTCTCTCGCTCATAAACACACCAAACAAGAATGCACGTAAACTCCACCCACCCTAACTACGTACTAATTACGCATGCGCACTTTATAAGCCACGCCCTCCTCCACTGATGATCGATGCTGTACAAAATGCAGAGTTAGTAGATTGCGGCGAGAGGTCCACTGATCCTCGAGGGAACGCTGATGGGAGGGAGAGACGAGGTGCGTGCACGAGAGTGTCTGTGTGAGCGGAGGGGGTCTTGAATGGCGTGGGCGACCAGTCTGGACTCCACTGTTGAACTGAGAGAACCGAGTAAACAGAGTACACCACACACATTCTGTCTCTCAGTGGTGTACCTGTGGTCGTGGTGGTGCGGCCGGGGAGTGGGAGCAGCAGCTGGTGAGCTCAGTCCCAGCTCCTTCAGGAGACCCAGCAGGTGTCTGCAGTTTATATTTCACATTGTCCACCGACTTGAGCACATGCTAAAGGCGCCTTTCACAATGTATTTTTTATGCGAGGGGCTTACTTCTTTCTGGCAGTGTTGGCCTCCATGATGCTAGGGATGGCAGGAGGCGTGTGGAACATCAGTGGACTAAACGGCAGTGGTTCTTGTCTTGTTGGTGGCCGGGAATCTTCCACCTGCCACGCTGCCTCACTCCCCTCCCCACCTCTCTCTGTCCGTGTGTGTCTGAGAGGGTGTGTGTGGAGGAGGGGTGGAGGGAGAGGGGTGCCCTGCATGCTCGCGAGTCCCTCTCCTCCTCTCTTCTTCTCCCTCCTCTCTCTAGTTGGGGGCTGAGTGTAGCGATGAGGTGAGGGGCTAGTCTGGAAACTTATCCTCCCTTGGTCTGCAAGAGAGAGAGAGTTCAGCAATAAATTTGGTTGTGGAGTTTTGAGGTAGACACACATTAGTTATTGTAGGCCCGTAAAACACATAAAAATTGACTCCCAGAGGTGTGTTAATGAGAAATATCTCCTGTCTCCCCATTCTGCACACGTGTGGATTAAGGGGGTAATTCTCAGGCAATTCGGAATTAATATTGACCTACAAAAACAGTTAACCTGTTTCTTCTTGGAGAGTGTCTGTCATGTGGCGGTGGTCATTGGAACCCTGCACAATCGCTGATCCTGACCTCGTTCTACGTTTGTGGGTGTGGCCAGGATGCCGGCTCCGGCGAACGGGAATGGGACGAGGAAGAGGGGTGATGAGATTCTGGTGTCTAACGTGGGACCGCCCCCCGTAGATCGGCTTTATCAGTAGAGACTTAGTGACTTCCTCCATCTCTCCCAACTTGACGGTCAGCTCGCGAGCGAGAGTCGTCCTTTGTCGACGCAGTCCTTCCATTCTCTGCTCAAACTGTTTCTGCTGAAGCTGATCCCGAGACCGGATCCTCCCCACCACCTTCTCTACCGCGTCCTCCCGATCGTGTAGCTCTCGCCTCACCTCGCAGACCAGGTTCTCTGCCAACTGCTTCTGCCGTCTTCTCTTCCCGACATGTGCCAGTCGCTGGGTGGGGATGGAGAGATAGGCACTCATCTCTTCCTTCACTCTCTGGTAGGCCTGGGTTGTGATTTTCTCCGATTCGACGGCCGACTCCAGTTCTTGAGTGTTGTGGGCCAAGTCGAGACTTGTGAACATGGAGAGTGGGACTTCGTTGGCCCCGCCCCTCTCATTAGCAGCCATACTTCGCCTGAGACTGGCGATTTCCATTCGAAGAGTCTCCACTTTGTTGGACAGGTTTGCTATTGTCTCCTGTGGGAGAGAGAGAGCAATCAAGTGCAGTTATATGTAGCTTCTTTGCTTTAGGAGAGAGGGTTAGATCATAGATTGGGACCTACCGAGATCATCTCAGATCCAGAAGTGGTTTGAGAAATCAACAGAAGCCATAAGGAACTAAGAAGGTTTGCGAGAGGCAAGCGTGAGAAAGGCGGCATATTGAGGGAACAGCCCGTTAAACAGAAGCTTTTCAAGTGCACCTCTGTGGCTGTTGAATGTCTCTTAGTTCGTTTTCTCCATAGTAAATACATAATACCCGTCAAACAGTTTTATGTTTGAGGATACTGTAGGTAGTTGAAGGTATGCTGGAACATTCCGCAGCCTAGTTTTGCTTTAAAAAGCAGCGCTTTTCTAGATCTTAGTCTCCACCTTTTTTTTCAAGCCACTTAAGAAATGTGTCATTGTTGTTGCCTCGAAGTGCCATTACCTTGCTATTTTGGAGCTCCATCTTGTGCATGTCCTCCGCCTGACTCAGTCTCTCCTTCATTCGAGTCTTTGCCTGTCTCAGGTTTCTCATCTCGGTGCCTCCCTCCTCTCCCCCTCCCTCCTCTCCCCCTGTCTCCCCATCATCACCTCCACCACTCTCACCTGTTAACAACCTCCCAAAGGTATCCTGAAGAGTTACCTATATACACCACACCAGACCGGGGGAAACATAATCTGCTACACAGGTAACTGATAACGTTGTGAAGGATAAACATAGAAGCTATGAATTACAAGCCCAAGAGCATTTTGTGTTAGGCTGTACAGACTGCTCTATTGAATCTCTGTTGAATTTGGCATTTCATGGTCGCAATTGGAATCAGCACATTTAAATATGCCGAAAGTATTATATAGCAGCTATTCTCACACTATGCGATGACTACAGAATTTTACCTTCAGTCAACCAGTTATATGGTATATTGACAGCACACAATGTTGGGGCTATAAGTTCAATAGAGGCATACCTCCATCTGATGCAGCATGAGTGTGAGGCTGAACCTCATTTGAGTGATTTGTCCCTGCACCTCTTCGTCCCTCGTCAAAGGCACCCCTGTCATCAGTACGTAATCATATCATAGTAGTGGTAGTGACTGTTGACTCACCTTCGATGCTGCGCAGATCTTCAATTTCGTTCTCAAATCTGTCGTCATCCCGGAGAATATCGACCATGCCATCCCTGAATTTCATGATGAGATCGTAGGCCTTCACCCACTCTGCCACCACTGGGTGGTCGTGGGGAAGAGACGTGTACCCCTGGGTTGAGTGGTGGGAGAGGCGGGACTGAATTAGCATGTGCAGCCCTTGAGGAGGAGCTCCTGACACGGCGTTGACCGTAGTTGAGTCCCCAAGTTGGCGGCTTGACCCAGACTGATTCAGGGAACCATGGAAAAACTGTGTACCCCCGGGAAATTGCGAACCCTCAGAGAAAGGGGTCTGCCCCCCTGGGAATTGAACCGATTGTGGTGTGCCTCCACCCTCGAATGGCCGATGGATGAGTTGAGTGATGGACGGCTCGCAACTGAACTGGACTTCATCCATTGGGAGTACGGAGATGGGAGGGCTGGTAGAGTGAGGAAGACCATGTGAGGCAGGGGTCATCTGTCCAGGAGAACCCTCGAAACTTCTGTTGACCAAGTCTGCCAGTCGAGATGCCTTCGAAGGCCCAGCTCCTCCCGCCAAGGCTGACTGCAGATCAGACTGTAGTTGGTGAATCTTGGCCGCTCTTTCTTCTTCTCTGGCAGTCAGTTCATCCAGTTGAGCCTGCAGAGAAGCTGTCGTCTCTTCAAGACAAGATATCTGCTCACACTTTTCGTCTCTCTCGCTTTCGATGCTCGTTTTCTCCATCTGCAGGGCATCGATCTCTTTCTGACAATTATTCTTCTCGTCGGAAAGTCTGTTCTGGGCCTCAGCCAACTGTGCCTTCAATCCGGTGACAGTCTTGCGAGATTTGTTTTTAGCCTCGTTCAGCTCATCTTTTAGTTTCGCTTCTCGCTGGTGATACTCAAACTTCAGTTTTTCTATAGTCGCCGGCGTATCACCACCTTCTGGTGTTTGCAGCAACTCACCAGCATCAACTGCCTCTTCTGCTTCTTCCTGGTACCCATCCCCTTCATCCCTCGCTGAACCCGCGTCGCTGAATAGATCATCTTCCATCAAACTCTTCATCTGATCCTCATATCGACTCCGCATATCCCGAACCTCAGCCTCATGCTCAGCCACTACTGTCGCCAGCTTCTCTTGGAATTCTCCTTCCCTTGCCTCCATCTTGGCTTCAAATTCTTCAACTGCTTTTTTCTCGTTTTCCAGAGCCGCCTCGAGCTCAGTGACTTTGCTGCTGTCAGCTCCTCCTGCCTTTTCCACTTCCCTTACCACCTCTTTCGCTTCTTCCTTCTTTGCCATGAGCTGCAGCCTCTGCTTCCGCTCTCGTTCCAGCTCTGTTTTTGCCTTCTCTGCAGCTTCTTTCGCAGCGGTCAATTGTGATTGGAGCCCAGCATTTGTCTTTTGCAACTGCTCCACTTGAGACGCTGCTTTCTTCAGTTTTTCGCACTCGGTTGTCTTTGCATCGACCTGTTTCTGCAGCCGGGCAATCTTATCTCTGCTGGTCTCCATCTCTCCGCGCAGGACCGTCAACTGATCCTGCAGTGACTCAACTTCCTCTTGTGCCTTCAGAAGGGCCTTCTCCAACTTCTTCCGACCTTTCTTTGTGTCTGGGAAGGCTTGCACGATGGCAAAGAGCTGTCCCATGTCTTTCTTGATCTCCAGAAGGCGATCTCCTGCTGCCTGCGCTGTTCGCAACGCGCTCTCCAGCCCTGCCGTGGCTTCTTCCAAGTCGATTTCCTCGGAGGAGATTTCCTCTAGAAGTTGCTCCGTGTTTCCTGCAGTCGTCTCCTGAAAGAACTCGTTGATGGACTGCAAGAGACGCTCGCGGTCCTCCAAGGCAGCCTCGTGGCCCAGCAGAAGAACAGTCACGTGCTGCTGGTACTTGGTCCGCAGGCGGACGTCGGCTAACAGCTTGTAGAGCTCCTCCGGGCTCCGAACGGCGTGGAGGTCCACGTCTTTGGAGCTTGGAGTTTCCGCACGCTGCCCGTCAGGCGTTTCAGGTTGGTACTCGGTGAGCGTGAGCTGGACGCGCTCCTGGATCTTCTCCAGCTCAAGACGAGTCTCTTCCTTCTTCCGCCTCTCTTTGGACTCGTTTGCCTTGAGGATGGCCATCTCGGCGGGGTCCAGGAAGGAGCTAGAGGACGAGAGGTTCAGAGCGAGCAGGGAATGACTCGTCGCGGTCTCGGCAGTTCGCTGGGGCCGCGTGCTGGAAGAGGGAGCAGGCGGTATCATCTCGGGGATATTTGTCACGGACACCAGTTTCCTCTTTACGCCAGCCATCACGCAATCATAAAACTGGAAAGAGCTCGATCCTTGCTTCTCTGGATGCACCTTTCGCCGCGTCAGCGTTTTTCATTGCGTGTTTCCGTGGTTACTAGCCCCGCCCCTATAAAACTCCGCCCAAATAAGCATATTTGGGAAAGTCCCTAGCGATTGCACAACTACTTGCCATACAGCTAGAGACCTTTGGCCTCTCAGGACCCTGGTTTGTGGTGCAATACTGACTACACCCAGCCCAGTGCTGTTTATAAGACTGCGAGAAAAGAATCATTCATTCGTCGCTCGTCACAACAGCAACCTGTAGCTACATTACAGGCTCACTTCCATCTTTACTCTCCTCAGCAACTTCAGAGCGACTACCCTCGTGATCACAGCCCGCTATGAGCGAAGGAGACCCCGCAGGAACTACAAGCAGCGGCAGCGAAGGCCCCGCACGCCTGCAGCCCCAGCCAGCAGCCGATCAGGGGAACAAAAATCGTCCTCCGTGCAAGTTCTTCCTCACTCGTCGAGGCTGTTCCCAGGGGTCCGAGTGCAGATTCTCTCACGTGATCCGTCACCCCCGCGACACCAGTCGAGACGGAGAGGAGGCGGTGAGGGAGCAGAGAGTGCGATCAGGTCACAGGAGCTCCAAACCTCCAATATGTCGACAGTTTCTGGCCTCGTCTGGGTGTAGGTATGGGGACAAGTGTCGCTATCGTCACGTAGCTAGGGAAGAGCCTGCGACAGAGAGCGGTGATGGAAGAGGAGGAAGAGGGGATGATGATGGTGAGGCTCTGGGTCGAGAGGTACAGGAGATCTCACTGGAGGGAGGAGAAGGAAGAGGAGTGAGGGGTGGAGATGAGTCGAAACCTCTACTGGACTTGACCAGTTTCCCTGGGCTGGGATCGGCTGGTGAGATACTCATCACAGCTTTCTTTAATACTCTGTGCCTGCTGCATGTGTTGTGTTAACTTTAGTGTGTGAGGAGAGAGTCTTTTGGTGAATGTTTTGTGTCTGCAGGGACCACGGCTAGTGCACAGCGTCCTCCAGTCCCATCTTCACAATCTCACACTCACACATCACACCCTCACAAACCTCAGTCGTCTCACAGCAAGAGACACGCCCCCTCAGAACTCTCCCTGGGTTCGTTCATGACCACACCCAGTCCATCTGTTGCCGGGGGAACCAGACCACATCCACCAGTGGAGCGACCACAGCGGACCAACAAGAAGACCGCAGCGGAACTCAGACAAGCCGAACTTGAGCAGCTGGAGACCCGTTTCCAAGGCAACCACAGACTAGTGGAGAAAGGAAAGGAGAGGAGCGTGTATCGAGTGACCTTTGCACCCACTGACCCTGACTGGGTGAGCCGAATATACACCACACTGCTTTTGAGAGCCTTGAAAAATAGTGTTTTTTTATCTGCAAAAGTTCTAAGTGTCAGTCGCCAATAAGAGGATGTGTGGACTTAGCTTTCTAAGCTTAAGTCTCTTTGCATTTTAATAATGTGTATAATTATACTGCAAACAGAGTGTGTAATATTATGTTTGCAGAGTTTCAAGTTCAGTACAATCGATGTGGAGGTGACATTTCCCAGAGACTACCCAACTGTACCACTCGCCATTACCATCCCCAACGACCAGGGGCTACACCCCACTTACATCGCCCACGGCAACCAGGCCGTGTCTCGTTACCTAGCAACAGCACCTGCGGGGTCTGGGGAGCTAATGTTTCGACCGTTCCTTCGCTGGTTCGACAAGACAATCACTCCAGTGTTGAAAGATGCCGCCAAACAAGTAAAACAATAATACCTTCAATGTCGATTTCTTATACCTCTGAATAAGGGACACTTGGGGATATTGAAACTGTTCTTGTTTAAAGGTATATAAAATATAATAGTGTGGGGCAGAACCAAATGTCCTATTAAGAGAGGTGCTCTTTATTTGGAAGCTCTGTATTTCGGTTCCACTGCATTTCTATTTTACTTTAGGTCACTGCGGAATTGTTTGCTAGCTCTGGTGACGAGACCACACCCACCGAAGACCACACCCACTCTGGTGGCGAGGAAGACGAGGAGTCGATGGAGTCAAGTGGCGAAGAGGAAGAAGATGAGCAATCAGAAGAGGGGTCGGACAATCAGGAGATGCAGCCGGTCACCATCTCCACAGAGAAGCGAGGGACCGAGATGCGTCTGAGTGGACTGGTGATGAGTGACGGTGTGGGGGTGGGGAGGTGTGCCGGTGTGAGGCTCACCCTCCAGTGCACCAGATGTAGGGCCCAGCAGGACCACTCCCTCAGAGCTGACACGTACGTATCTATATAGCGCCTCTGGAAACTGAGAGAGAGAATGTGTTTGTTTTAGTAGTGAATTTTTGTAGCCTGAGACTCAATCCTGTCGGAGCACAGCACAGGCCAGGCCGGGCCAGGCAAGAAAACAGGGGAATTCATAACCATTGGCAACAGTTTTCTTTGTGAAATTTGAGATAAGCTATTTGTCTCATGAAAACTGTGTGTATTATACTTGCGAACCAATTGTAGTTTTCTCCTTCGCAAGTTTGGGGCAGTAACGTAGTGTTGTAGGAGGGTCTTCAGTGGAACTGTCTGCATAGCTCCCTCTCCTCCTCAGTCCGACCTCCCAGCTGTGTTCTCAGTGCCAGAGTTGCTACTCGTTCTCCTACCGACCCTCCATATTCCACCCCACCTCTGCCACTCTGGGCTTCCTGGACCTACAGGGGTAAGTGAGGTCCACTGCTCCCTCCTCTTATGTACAGCTCTTTCCCATAGACCTAACAACACCATTGCATTTCCACTCCTATCTCCCAATTGCTCTCTCTATTCTCCCATCTGACATTATATATTATAGAGCCAATCGAAAGTGTAGTTTCGAGTGGATTTTAAAGAAGTACTGTATGTACAGTGTATGTACATGTGTATGCATGTATGATGGGTCTGCCTACCAGTGCAAGATTAAGGATTGCACCACTAGAAACGACCAACTGAGAAGTGCAAGACCTGAGCCATGATTTAGCACCATGAGTCCAACCTTTACCATGCAAGACACGATTGTAGTGTGTGCAGCAGCTCTATTTAATGCCCACCACAGGTGCACGCCGGTGGATCTGATTCTGATGCGGTGTGAGGTGACGCTCACTTGTCTGGAGTGTGGACGAGATAACTCCACCTCTGGCCTCAACTACGGAGAGAACAGAGACACCTGGTGCAAACGCTGCCACGTGAAGCTCTCGCTGAGCGTGGAGCAGTGCAGGTTCATCCAGCACCGGCCTGGAGTCCTCCCTGCGGCCGCGAGCGAGGGGAGGAAGAGGAGGCGGGAGGGAAGAAGAAGGCGAAAGAACCACTCATCCAAGTTGGGAAGCCCCTCCCAGAGTTTGGGACTTGTTCCCACTACAAGAAGAGCAACCGGTGGCTGAGGTGAGGGGAAATAGTTGAATATGGGGACATCTGAAAAAGTAACACCTCTACAAAGGAAGATCTGCTATATCTTATTCAACCTCTAAATAAAGAACACCCCTCACAAAAAAAGATGGTTGGAGTGTTCCTAAATTGTAGTATATACAGCACAATTTTCAGCTATCATCCTTGACCAAATCTTGGGATGGATCATAAAGCCAGCTTCATTTCCTGACAATTTTACAATCAGGTGTGCATTTATTCAGGAACCCTGCTTTATCCCTGCTGAATGTCAGGTTCCCGTGCTGTGGGAAGCCGTTCCCGTGTGACGAGTGTCACGATGAGACGGAGGACCACGTGATGGAGAGAGCCAACAGGATGATCTGTGGGTTCTGCTGTCGTGAGCAGACCTACTCTTCCTCCCGGCCGTGTGTCGGCTGTGGAGGAGATCTGGTGGGGGGAAGAGCCGGCACTTACTGGGAGGGTGGGAAGGGGTGCCGCAACAAAGTCAAGATGAGCAGGTATATAGGACTTTCGTAGACTGTTCTAGTGGACGGTGTTGTTGGTGGTGAACGAACACGGAACACGGCTGCACATTTGTTTGAGTAGCTTAAAGTGAACATGGGTGTTAGAGGCATTTTAGTAAAGATGGAAACTGAACAATATGCCCCATTAAATGCCGCAGTTGAGTTTGTAACATTTTCCAAATTCAGCCGTTGTAATGCCACATTCGCTTTAACGGATGCTAAACAGACTTATTCATGCTCTTTACACACACAATGTGCTGCATTCTGCAGCTCCTCCCTCTGTGTGTGGCCGAACGACCTCACAATACGCCAACTCAACGGACAAGACAAAGTGTAGGAAACAGGAGAGAGTTGGGAAGCAGCCTACTTCTGTCAAACACTGACTGAACTCTTGTGTGCTCTGTGTCAAATTTCTGTCTTCAAATTTTGTATATAGATAGAAAAAATTGATTGGCCAAAACTAAAAAATTGGAGTAAAACATGTAGGGTCTGTAATTGACCAAAAACAGAACTGCTAAGATGCGATTATGTCATGCGAAACTGATGATGATGTCATGTTTCAAAAGGTAAGTGATGATGTAATGGTGGATGATGTCACGGCTAATTTCCCAAGAGGTGTGTCCAAGACTGATGGTGAGATCTCTGAGCTGCTCATCTTCACTCCAGTCCACCCCACTGCCCACTATCAACCCCTGCAATTATTGCACAAACATTTTTCTTGTCCCTGAAGCTTCACGCTGTGTATGTAGCGACTGACCTGGAGACAGCCTCGTAACAGTCTGCACTCTGCCGTCTTTGCCTCCAACACTCGCCTCAGTCTGCAAGTGATACCAAATGGCACTCACCAAGACACACACTCCCTCCTTACCTCACCACCTCCTCTGTTCCTTCCCTCTCTCCTTCATCACACCCTCTCTTCGACCTCTGGTTTCAGGCAGAGAACACACCCACTCATTAGCACAATACACATCAAGTTATGTCTAAAGAACACTAGAGTTAAACCCCTCTCTAGCAACACCCTGAAAAATTACGAGGACACCTCTATTAGGACAACTTTTCTTAAAAGCAGTTCTTGCATACATTAAACGTAAACGTCTATGATAATGGACAATTTCTTCTTTCCCACTAGTGCCTCGATTAGAAGTGTGTTCCACTGAATGCTGCAAGCCCTCCGTTTCTAGTTCGTGTGTTGACAAGTGCAGAGAGAGAACCTTCCAGCTGACCTCAATTTGAGCAATGAGCTCTCTGCAGTGTCTCTGGCTCCCGTGTCGTTCTCTCTCTTTATCCTCATCACTCGATCCCTATTTCTCTACTCCCCACACCCAGACACCACCCTCCCCAACCTCCCACTCTCAGCACACTGCTTCCCAACAGCCTCTCTCAGAGCCCTGTGTGTAATGACATCATCCCTAGTAATTTTTGAGTTTTGTGGGTGGTTTTCGCGTTTTTTCCGTGTTGTCTTTTTATCATTGTTGTTATATGGGAAAGGGGATCATGTGATCAAACATCGCAAGTCACATGACCCACTTGTCTTCTGCAGTTGGGTCTGGACGTTGGAACAAGTGCTTCGTCAAAATCTCACTAGTCTGCAACCTAAGAAAGAAATGCTCTTTCTTTCACATTTGGTGTGCCAACTATGGCAGTCTACCTCTGTATCAGTTGCTGGTCCAGCGAGAGGCGAGACCTCGCAGCAGACACTTCTCTTTCCAGCTCAGCTACCCTTCACAGGGAAAATTTATTTCAGCTAATCAACTTTTGCTAATGCAGTTTGGTATGCTAACCATATCAATCGCATAAAAACACATTCTGTGATATTTCTATATACCACCAGACAGATAAATTTAGGTAAAATGTAAACTGAAAGGTTACCGTTCCTCCAGGTCTTCAAGATCAACAGTTGTGTCAGCCAATGGCTCTTTACACAATCTCATACCTGCACCCACATTAATGGCTAATGGTACGGTACAAAGTTTGTGAAAGATGTACACTTACGCAGTTCAAGTTCGACTTCGCATGACGTCTTTTCTTGCAGCAAACGCTGCTTCTCTCTGCATAAAATTGGCAAGCCTAGAAAGCACAGAAAAGCAACGAAACTCGAGACCCACCGTGTTAGAGTCAATATATCTGACGGGCCCGACTCTGTCAATTCTGCAAGTAGCTCTGAATTTTCCTTGGAGTGGAGGGCCTCTTTCATGAGTTCCTTCACGGCCTGACGGACGCCGTGGAGACGGTGCGAGCTGGAGCTGCCCACACCCTCTTCATCGTCCCACCTGTCCGCCATGTTTTCCGCCTTGCGCATGCGCAGTAGGTCAGCCGTGTAAACCTCTGACCAATCAGATTTGAGAACGGGGAATTTAAAACTGCAATTGGGCGCGTGGTTTTCAGAAAAGGCGCTGATTTGGAGGGAGAAGCTAGCACTGAACGATTCCAGAAGGTAAAGAAAGACGACAATGGCTATGAAGAAAATGCAGAATATATACTACTCGGACAAGTACTACGACGATACTTTCGAGTACAGGTGAGCAGCGGAAATTTTGGCCTCGATTCGGCGATTTATTCGATCGCTCCTACCCCTCCTCTCTCTCCCCTCTCCTTTCTCTGCAGACACGTCATGCTGCCCAAGGACCTGGCAAAGATGGTTCCCAAGGGAAAGCTGATGTGCGAGTCAGAGTGGCGGGGGCTGGGCGTTCAGCAGAGTCAGGGATGGGTCCACTACATGGTCCATGGGCCCGAGCCGCACATCCTTCTCTTCAGACGGCCCATCACGGACCGCGAGGCCGCCAAGAAGGCAATGCTCGTCTGCACTTGAACCACCGAACACTCCGCGTGACCCCTTCCCGCCCGCGCAACCACCCGTGTGTCGTTTTCTCTTTCGTTCAAAATCCTCAGCTACGTTTTGTGTGACTGAACTGGCTCTGAGCTAGCTATGAGCTGGGGTTCACTGTCTGTGTAATTATGCTGGATGTGTTGTGTTCTGTACCATGATGTGAAATGTCGTCTCAGTTCACTCCTAATTGAACCTGTGCTGTTTCAACTTTCTACCAACTGCTATCATTTTTGCCAAATACAAGTGCTCTGTGTGCTGTTTCTGCCACTCGCTGATATGCGGGCTTCAAAAAGCAGTGTTTGCAAAGACTTGTTTCCAAGCGAGTGGGGTAGGAAAAGACGTACCTTGTGTATGTAGATGCTGTTATATGATAACACCACAATCTGATAAATGTTGCGCATTGCTCTCCAGCTTCACACAACTACACAGCAAATTGCGGAAGAGTGACTGGGGGGGGTACATTGCAACAGGGAACAACACTAGACCCCAAGGCACCATTGTGTGTGTGGTTAGATAACGTTACGAAAACACTGCGCCTGCTTTTCACACAAGAGTCACGGAAAACATTGTAGACATTGCACATGCAGACAGAACTAAATAGAGCAAGTGCAGCAACGAATTAGGTCTCTTTGGATGGCTGTTGGTCGGGCATCGATCGAATGATGTCCGAGTCACCAGGATCCACGATGCTCAGCGTGCTGACTCGGAAATACTTGCCACAGGCCGTCCCCAGATCAACGTTATCACCGGAGTAATAGTGGACGCCTGTCTTAGCCAACATGGCATAGTACTCCACCTCACTCTTCCTGTGGGGACGACAACCACACAAAATGATGGATAGTAGCTTTACCAAAAACAAGAAAAAGTTTGCGAGTAAAAACACATTTGGGCACCTCCATATATTATAATTATCATTTGTACGCAGAGCACACTGAGCTGTAAAATCAGTAAATGTCTTCCCATAGGACCTTTGAAGGTGGGGGCAGTTTTACACCTTTATGCCAATATCAACGTCATGGGGTGGAGGGTGCTCTAAAGAGAGCCCAACTGACCGGAGGGGGGGAGCGTTGTTGGCTAGAATGATCAGCTTTGCCTTCCCGAGTCGGAGAGACTTGAGTGTGGAGCGGTAGCCGAGGTTGTATTTCCCACTCTTCATTACCAGTGCCAGGCGAGTGTTGATACTCTCCATCGCTTTTTTCTACAGTCACACACACACACACACACACATTAGTGAGTGGATACTAGATTATAGTGGTAGTCAACCATACAAGCAGCACTGAATACACTGGAAACACCATTGTGACCACACTCACATACGGAAACACACACACACACAAGCTAAGCAAAAGTCGTTCTACTCACCGATTTGGGAGGCATGGCGTCGTTTACGTATCCCTGAAACACAAATACATTGAAAGCTCAGCAAGAAAGGGCGGTTACATAACGCTACCTTACCTTCAGACGCTTGAAAGAGAAGGTTTCGGGCACAAGCAAACACGACACGTGCTCTAAAAAGAAATCGACAAGTGCGCATGCGCTGATATATGACCTTTCACCCCCGCGTGGATTGTGTGGTTGTCTAGTCTAGAGACAATGGGTACGTAAGTTGACAGGCTGTCTAGGTTCGAGAGAGACAATTGTGTGAAACCAATTTCTCTCCTCCTTTCTCTGTAGCTCTACCGTCCAACTACTCGTGCGTGTGTGCGGCAGCGCTGTCTCTGCTGACGTTTGCCGCGATGCAAGTTTTCCGCGAGCCTCTGGCGGCGGAAAGGAGCACCACAATTCTCGGAGGGTTCATCGGCTCCATCTTCTTCATCTTCTTCCTCACCGTAAGTCCGTTGGTTGCCAGAGGAAGTGTTTCTAATTGACGCCCACCAACCAAACCATAGGCAGTTGGAAATGGGTTCACTATGTTGTTTGGCAGGACGTACCAGGTCAAGATTGTCCCTGAAGGTGAGTCTGTAATCTCAGTACGTATGCCTAGGCTGAGTTTGAAAAGAAAGCTAGGGTTAGAGGGGTGTCCTCGTGTCAGGGGTGTCCTTAGAGATGTGTTGTCTCTCTATCTCCTTGCAGTGGCAGTTTGTCTGGTTGTGTCTGTGTTTGTGTCAGGTCTTGTCCACAGAGTTTCTGCCTCCACCTGGTACGTTAGCCACAGCCAGCTAACCTCTCATCCTCTAAATCCCTTCCTCCCTCCCTCCCTCATTCCCCAGCCTCATTTTCTCACTGCTGGCACTCTACTTCATGAATCGAATATCGCAAGCCACCTATTCATCCTCCTCTGCCTATTCCCAGACCTCCTCTGCTCATAAATCCCCCCAGGGGGTCGCCACCCCTAAATCTCCCCGTGGAAAACGAAGTGGAAAAGGGAGCAGTTGAACTCTAGGCAACAATTGTGGATACTTTTTGATGTCAAATCTCCTAATCATGACATTTCTCAAGCTATTTACTGAAACACAAAAATGCAAACAGATTATAACAAAAATATGAAAACAACATTAAATCAAGAATAATGATGTGGAGTGCGAAAATGCATGGCTTATGTCATTGAAGTGGTGTGAGGTATGCTTACTCCGACCTGTCTGAACCCTGTGGGTCCCCCAATCTGCTCCCCACTCCGTCTCTCTTTCACCCTCCTCTGGCCCCGCCCACCTCGTACATCAACCTGTCCCAGGACGTCGAGTGGGACGGGAGACGAGGGGAGAACCCCATTGTAACCAAGGTAATTATCCACATAGTTGAGGTTCATCTCGTCCATGAGTCGAGCTCCGTGTCGTCGATGGTAACGATGTTCGGAGGTACGACTAGAAGCCTGACTGCCGAGTGTGTCGCTATCTTGATCATCGTAATAGTGTGCCACCTTTCTCTTTAGAACAGGGTCTTCTCTACAGCACAGGGCGCTGCGGATGCGAGTGTTGGCACAGCCGTTTGCCAATAGGAAGTAGAGTCCAGTCAGGACAGCGAGAACTCCGACCACGATCAATAGTTTGTCAGTGTCTAGTTGGTAGCGCCCCGTGATATGCACGGAGTCAGCTGTGAGGTAGACGGAGACTAGAGTGAAGGAGTACAGGAGAGCAGTGGTTTGGTTGGAGGCGATACGGAGGTAGACTGGCAGGTCTAGGTCGTAGTCACTGCAGCAGAGGACGACGAGAGAGAGGAGGGAGAGGAAGAGCGTGACGACCACTGCTAGACCGGATATGAACGTGAAGTAGTTTGGGAAAACATCGCCCTCCAGCCAACATCTGTGGGGGAAAGATGAATCATGGGACGCCAATGTTCATATCCAATGACACTAGGACACCACTTTAACCCAGGACACTCTGTTCTTGCTTTTGAGCTACCAGGGAAGCTAAGCAGGTGAGTGTTGTTCTGGATGTGAAATGTGTATGTGAAGAGTTGTCTAACATGTCGGGAGACTCAGGGAATCCTCCATATCTTGATCCAGCCACTCCACCAACAATAACCGCTGGCAACACTGTAAAACAGTAAAAAGAACCGGTTTTCGACACTCTCTACTCATCCCTCTGTCTTACCCCAGCCAGCCACCGCCACAGGTATAAGCAGCCACCATCTCTCAAACCAAGTTCTCCTGAAGACCTTGAGTGAGGCTAGGACGGGGTAGACAGCCAGCCAGAACAGAGTCACCAGAGCTGTGTAGTGTTGGAGAACAGCCAGTGAGTAGCAGAGCTGGGTAGGCAGGTGAGGGTGGTAGGAGGCTGCAGTCACCAGGAGAGAGAGGAACTGGGAGGTGCCTCCATTTGCCAGGCACTGCTTTAGAGGTAGACTACGCAGTGACCTGGAGAAATGTAACATGAGAGGGAAAGAGTGTTTTTGAAGTTAATTTCACACTTGTGAAAAGATGCACATTTTTTCTGCAGTTCAAATAGCTTCCTCCTATAATCTACATCAGCTAGGGGTATATAAAGTTAATCCATGTATTGATCTGGATTTTTGCAGTGTGGACACGGATTATATATGTGGATCAATTATACCGACAGTCAAAGTGTTGAAATATTTTAACGGCAATGTTCATACCTGCTAAAGAGCACCGCCAGGATGACAGGTAGATGGAGAAGAGCTCCCAGGCCACATGAGCAGTAGAACACCATCTCCACCACTCCCAGTGTCTTGTCACCGCCTGGTTCTACCGCTGTCCCTGGGATCTGCACAGACAGACAAGAGAGAGGTGGGAGGGGTGGGAGAGGTGGGAGGGTATAGTTAGCAAAATGAGTCTGTATAATAGATACATGTAAATGACATCCACAGACCAGAGAATTCAGGGTTTACTAATTAAGGGACTGAGGCACAATAAGGGCTAAAATTTTGGTTGGGTCCTATGCCCTTATTTAATGCTACATTCTCATCAACTGAATTCTATATATGCTATAATCCTTAGTTGACCGTGACACTGCATCTATAACTTATCCGAAATGCCCGCCAATAAAGTTGAGTTAATAGGTCAGAGGTGTCTTACATCTAGAACACCGAAGGTCCCAGAGTCAGTGCAGACACAGATGAGCTGGGAGCCAGAGGTGTCGCCACTCAGCCTACAGCCAGTGCTCTGCCAGCCACCACTGCCACAGTTGAGACTACTGTTCCACCTCACACACACCACTTCACCACCCCTACCTTCATCTCTTACCTGGGGACAACAACACGTACACCGAATTAATAGATCTACCTAAAAAAAAAAGAGATTTCTACGGGAAAAAACACACCAGTACTATAATATGGCAGGAAACTTTCAAGAAAAAAAGACAGAAAACTGGAAATCTTTTGTTGCAACACACTGATTACAGTGGCATAAATTGATAAACCTTTGTGAAGATAAAGAAAAAGTTTAATTTCATGGGGTCCATATCGCTATAATATTCCATGCTCGCAAACTCTTGTATAGATGGTTTTTCACACCTCAAAATACAAAAATGAAACGCTCTCACTTGTTTTCCTAGGACTACTCTACTAGTACAGAGTTTCTTTTGCCTACTGTGTTGTAGGTGATAGTGACAGATTCCGAGCCAGTGGTTGGTTCATCTGACACACTGATTACAGGGGCAAGGTCATTATCCCCCTCGAGACCTTCATTTTCACCACAGGTGGTTGTGTTGAAGATGTCTGCATCATTATACACCGTCACCTGGTAGAGATTGGCTGAAAAATAGAATCTATGTATGATGTAATAGTGACTTCACTTGTATGGGGCCCTCGAGGTCCCCATCTATCACAACCTCCACATCTCCACCTCCTCCCTCTTCCCCTATCACCAGTCTCCCATCTCCATCGTCTCCCGTTGCTATGACGGCCACAATGTGGGTGTGGTTAGTTCCAGTGAGGTACACGCCCCCCAAGGCAAGGTGAGAGAAGGTGAGAACCAGACGTGTGTCATTTGCAGAGAGAAACGAAAGCAGAGCAGAGTCTATGACATCTCTGAGCCTACGACAGAGAAAGTGGAGACCATCAATGTAGACTTGTCCCAAAACTATCTCTCTACAATATTATAGTGCTCAATAATTGAGTGGGCCCTGGTGGCTGGTAGCTCAACTGGTAAAGCGCTTGCCTATGCAGAGTGTTGTGGGTTCGAATCCCACCAAGGGCAGCTCTTTCTTGTTGAGAAAAGAGTTGTCCTGGGCTGTAATGGTTTGCCTTCGCTTTGAGACCTCATTGCTGACACAAGCGTAAAGACAGATAGGAATACCGCCGGGAGCACAATATTAGCACACCTGTTAGCTACACTGGAGCCAGCAGTGAGGAGTGAGTCTCCACTACTGCTGAGTAGATGGTCCACAGCCTGGAGACTGTTGTTCAATACCTGTTCATATACACCAGAGAAATATAGTATAGATACCCTACATTACAGAGCTTCCAATCCCGTTTCATAAGGTATAGAATGGAGGTGTGTTTGTTGTTAGCATGAAATACAGTACTAGTGTTACTGCTGATGTCAGCTGATTCTATTCACGACCCTGATAGGTAGCTAGCTGTTTGTCGCTGTCAGGGTTCATACTGTATTATGTACAGTGAGAGCTGATTCATGAGTTCAAGCTGTCAGATGAATAGCTATGCACAGAATGTAGTTAGTGCAACGCGTGTGGTGAGTGAAGAATAAATCATAGCTGAGAGATAATGAGCTACAGACTGAAAGGGAGTGTGGTGCGAAACTCGTGACAAAATTTACCACACGTACGCATACATGATAGCAGCCACGTAGATAAAAATTGCTGCAGTGTGACAGCAGAAAACAGGGTAGCGTAAAATTTTATGAGAGCTTGAGCAAAGAAATAGGAGATGGGAGACTTACATTGAGACTGGCCATGGGAAAGAAGATGAGTGTCTCCAAGACATCGAGTACCACCTCCACCTCATCAGTGGAGAGGGAGGGAGAGGGAGGGGAGAGGGCAGCAGAGAGAGACGACGACACGGACTCAACATTCGCCACCGTGATGTCACTCTACATCAGGTAGAGACATAGTTTTACCAACCATTGCTTTTTTTGATAACCTGGGTTGGCCAGCAGCATTTTCATGCAAAAAGTATTTTGCAGTAGCTATAAAGCTCTGTGGGAGTAGTGAGTGTGCCAAGCCTCCTCCTGACCTGTGAGATAGCTACAAGTTCCAGTGTGGTCTGTGAGACTGCTGCACACCCTCCACCCTCCACAGCTCCCCACTCCCCCATCTCCCCACACTCCCTGCTGGCCACGCCCCCTTCCGGTCCGTGGGGACAGGCTCTCTCGACTCTCTCTCCTGCGGCAGTTTCGGGCCAGTCAAAGAATCCGAACTCTGACCCCGAGTTCTCCAGTCGGCTGCATACTCTGGGTAATTGAGGAGTAGGGGTCGGGGTGTGATGGACTGTTGGGGTAGTTGGCAGTGGAGTTGGAGTCACAGATGGGGTGGGGGATGGAGTAGGTGATGGTTCATCTATAGTGATGATTGAACGAGAGAAAACGTACATGCGAAACATAAGCTTTTGAGCAAAAATTTTGCCGAATTTTCTTGTGAGTGAGAGGGCAAGCAGATTTCTACACAAAAAAACCACTTTGCAACACTGCTTCTCGAAAGTAGTTCACAACAGAGAGAGAGTGGGTGGTGAACCTGGGATGGAGATATCGGAGACGAGGGTGGAGTTGTCACACCTCAGCTGGTCTCCGTTCCATACCAATCCGGAGTGGACCAGGTTCACGAGAACGGCCACATTGGGACTGGAGCAGTCCCACACGTTAGAGCTCAGAGATCTGCATAGAGCATATAGCAGCGGTGAAGACTTAATGGTCACAGCTCACATTGAAGTGAGTGCTGGCAAATGGTCCAAAAGGTCTGGTGGAAGCTCAGTCAATCTGTTGTGGTCCAGATACCTGCAGTACAACAGAAGAAGATCTCCTTTTGTTTCAGTATAGAAAGACTCAGAAACTGCACCCACAGTGTGGTTAGGTTGGCCATGTTTTCTCCGAAGGCATCGACGTTCAGCTGGCTGAGATTGTTGCTCTGTAAGTAACTGCAGATGACACACTCACATTTATAACTGCTCCAATACAGGCGGCTATGGGAGGCTAACAGTGTCTCTAGTGATGGAAGTGGTGTGAAGAGACAGTCTGGAAGATCACTAAGCCCATCACTTCTGAGGTCCCTGTAATCAGGAGGTGACTAATTAATACTCTTTATCACCAGTCTGGTGTAGCTAAATGGTGGTGAAGATTATGGGGTGTGGACAAGATAGAGATCACTGACTGCATGTGTGTATGTGATCCTATGGTACACTTGATGAGGGGTACATACACACACACAGATGTCAAAACTTCTCAAATGTTGGAAAGTACCACGGGCACTTGGTGATATATACCGCATGCAGAGCTGGACTCACGTACAGGGAAGTTAGACTGTCCAGTCCGAGAAAGGACTGGGAATTGAGGACCAGCTCTGGTGGAGAGTTTGACGACAAGTTCCTATCACAACAAAATAGACAGAATAATATCGCAATCCTCCGTTCTCCGCGTATATCTACACTTACAGAGAGATGAGTTGGGGGAAGTAGCGGAACACACCCGCCTCTACCTCCCGTACTGCATTGTTTCCATAGTCGCTAAAAGAAGGTAAAAGGATAACAGTAGCTAGCGGTCATCGAACGAGGCTCACATCTCCACGGGGGAGCTGGTGCAGGTTCTAGTAGGGACGACACTGTCGCCTGATGTCGAGGTTACGCGGAGACAGAGGCAGTCCTGGGTACTTGTCTGAGCGCAGTCCACGAGGTCTCCTCCACCGCAGGAGAGAGCCTTCGTGACTAGAGTTAGCAGCAGACAGCAGAGTCGCACTCCACCGCAGGCCATCATCCCGCACCCAATTTGTGTTTACGGCCGGGCGAACCGAAAAGGTGGGTGGGGCTGCTCATTGCAAGACGGCTACTGCGCGTGCGCAAATCCACGCGCTACAAGTAGCTGCACTAACAGCGTTCCAAAGTACGCAGCCTCGTCTGCAGGAGGGCTGAGCGGCAACAGAGCGCGCGCCACATATTCTAGACGAGTGGAGGATCGAATGAGCGATGGCGGAACCCGAGGAGCAAGCCGAGCTACTTACACCAGAAACAGAAGCCCCGCAAGGCGAGGAAGCGCTTGCGCCGGAGATTGCTGATGAACCGGAGAAAGCCGCCGCCGAGGAAGTCGTAGAAGAGGATGCGACTGCTACGGGCGGGGCGGAGCCCCCCGCGGAGCCTGAACAAGAGCCTGAGTTGGCGGCGGACCAGTATCCTCAAGAGGAGGTGGAGGAACAGCAACCAGCGGAGCCAGAGCAGCAACCTCCAGAGGAACCCGAGTACGCCGAGCCGCCCACCGAAGAAGATATGGCCGAGGCAGAAGCGACGTTGCCTCCGGAGGATGCGACGACGGGCGAAACTCCCGCCGCAACCGACGGAGATATTGATGAGCCGATCGAGAAGGAGCCGGACGAGCAAGACAAGGTGAGCCATGGCCGCCGAGGTTTGGGTGGAGTCGCTGCAGTCCGCGAGTTGCGAATTGCGTCGCCAGACATCGGTCTCTTGTGTATTGACAGCCACACATGAACGTGAAATAGGCCATGACATATCGCATTTCTCTACTCTTCTCACCACGCCCGGCATCCAGATATGAATACACTCCACTGGCCAATTTGATTAACTAACAGGGTCCATATAGTGCTATATATGACTTTGATTAGAGACCTGACTATTTCATTCAACAAAGATTACGTCTTTTATTATGGATGGTTTTGTTTTATGCAGGAGCCACTGACAGACATGCAGGCACTGGAGGAGGATTTGACAAAGTTTCGGCACTGCATCGAGAACATTGGGACGCAGCTGGACGACGAACTGAACAGACAAGACATGAGAAAACTGCGAGCCAGCATCAGACAGAAGGCCACTCGAATGGAAAACGACCTCAAAGACCGACAAAAGACAAAGTGAGGGAGAGACGGAGAAAGAGAGAGAGAGAGAGAGAGAGAGAGAGAGAGAGAGAGAGAGAGAGTGTGTGTGTGTGTGTGTTTGTTAAGAACTATAGGATCAGCAATAGCTTAGTAACAACTTGCATGTTGCTGTGAGATGAAATCATGCATTCTCCTGGTTGTCAGAGTGCAGCAAGAACAGCGGACTTAGTTTGACTTCTGTTTTCCTTTACCAAGTACAGCTAGTGCTGTCGTTGCTCGAATTCCACACATCACCATAAAGAATGTGTGCAGTGTGGCCCACAAATACACCATAACTATAATTATATCCCAGAGAGACAGCAAGTGCCAAACATGAACAACTGACTTCCATACCTCCTGTAGTCTAGCTATCCTGTATAAAAGTCTAGTATGGTGTGGTATGGTGGATGGTATTCTAATTTCTAAAGACCATTAGCTCCAGAGAAGCGTGGGATGAGGCCCACACAAACTGCCTGTATAGGTCCACTATTGAACTCCCTGGCCAACTGTAATGCTAGAATGGCAATGGATAAGTGGGACCTGGAATTAATCCACAACCGTTATCAAAATCCTGTTCACTATGAGACTACTGCGTTTAGTATCCAATTTGTACCGCTTGCTTGGCTTGTTCAGCTTCTTCTACACTGAGATTATATTATGTATACTGTTGTTGGACATGGAAAAGACGATCTATTGGTAATATACAATGTCCATGCCTAGTGTTGCATACAAACGTACTGAACCTGCCATTGGAACTGAGAATTGCAGGGGCTTACTATCTGTACACTGTTTTTGTTGCAGTTGCAGCTATATTATATATATATCGGGTTGTTTCAGCATGCTTTTTTCTACATTTGGTTGCTTAGTGACATTATACAGTGGAATCTCCGATAAGGGACCCTCCGAGATAAGGACAACATCTCTAAGGACACTGTGTTTCAACCCCTTGCTAATACTTTAGTGTTTAAAATGACTACAAAGGACAAAATCGTTGGCCCCATAGTGTGCCTTGTTTGAAGATACCTCTGTATTAGTTTCAGTGACTCCCCCTCTGTTTCCCTTCCCCAGAGACCAGATGACACCGCAGGAGAGGATCCACCTCCAGCAGGTCATCAAGCAGCTGGACACTCAACTCACCAGCTACCACGAGCTCCTCGAGAGAGAGAGGACCATGACCCGGCGACACCCTCTCGTCGGAGGTCAGAGTTCACTCCAGATTCTCACGATTTTTTATTCTTGGAGCTTTCACAGTCACATTTCCCCACACACCCTCCTTCTTGCATTTCTCTTTTCTCCCGTGTTTGTGTTCAAAGCGTATTTGCAAATGAGCAAACTGAGTAGTGGTTACCTGTATATAGGTCTTGCTAAAAACTCACGGTCACTATATGCATGCTATGGGAAAGGCAATACAAGCTAGCTATCAGTGTGTAGATATATATTGTTTCTGATCTCTCAGTAAATCTTGAAGAGGAAGGCAGAACTGTGGACCATGCCGCCACTCCAGGCCAGGCTCAGGCAATGCTCAAGGCAAATGCGAAGGACAGAGAAAATGAGCACGTGGAGCTAATGGAGATGGAACGGTAGCTGAATCACTTCCCAGTTCTGAGGTGTCCACACGTCATGTGTGTTTGTGTCTGCTGTATATAGGGATATTCTTGGACTCCAGGACATACAGACAGACCTGGCAACTCTAATTGGAGAACAAGCTGACGATGTCAAACTAATTGGTATGTATAATTATGCCACGTCCAGAGTACTGGGGATGGCATTACAACCCCCGACAGTTTATTACTGAATTCGTAGAGTTTTATCTCCATTAAACGTTTCACACAATTAGCATCAGGCAGTTGATTATATTCTTGTCTGAAACTCCAAAAGATAAGGGGATTGTCTTGTGACATGTGGATAAAGCTCTCTAGATATACACGTACTCTGCAGGAGATTATTTACTTAACTTCTTCCTCTCCTCTCTCTCTCTCTCTCTCTCTCTCTCTTCAGAACAGAATGTGGAGAGGGCAGGTGATAGAGTGGAGCACGGTCAAAGCCAGATGAAGAAGGTATGCCATTGTCGCATTCCTCGAATGACACAGTTGTCATGCCTCACTAGGTGTTTGCTCTAATGACAAGCTCTATACTTTACTGACAGCCTTACTAGATATAGCACTCCTTTGGCATAGCTTTATACATGCCTGAGCACAGTGGTAGGTAACCATTGGTGACGAATGACAGCCACGCCCAAAGCTATAGTAATGGTGCATGAAATCAGGGCATACACATACTTTTATAACACCAAATTATTGCTGTATTAGCTATCAAAAGCATTTTACGAATGTGTTGAAGTGAAAATGAAACTATTGAGGAAGAAGATGATTAGCTAGAGCAATCCCTGGAAAGCCTGGAATCTCATTAGTAAAATAGTACTAGAGTGGTTGTGAGGAAAAACATTAATGATTGTTTCACTCTCTCTCTCTCTCTCTCCACACGCCGCCGTGCAGAGCGTGGAACATGCCCAAAGCTCTCGCAAGATGCTGTGCATTGTACTCACCTGTGCTTCCACATTCGCCACCTTTGTCATCATCCTCCTGGTGATAGTTATGGCTGTCATTCTCACTCGACAGTGACTCCTTCCCTTATCAGAAAAACAAATTCCCCACAGTAATAGTTTTTATTCCTCACACTAAAGAATGTTTGTATATAATTATATAATAATTATTATGAAAAAGCTTTTTTCTATACACAGTAATAGTTTTTTTATTCGTCACACAAAAAATGTATTTTGTAAAAGCGGATTGTCATTTTTTTAGTCGCGATCGCGATAAAATGGCATTGCCACACAAAGTGGGTGGGGCACGCTGACTTTCGCATCCGCGGGACGTACGTACGTAGCTGCGCGTCTGCCCAGGCCGACATAGAGAGGCTATAGCTGGAGAAAAAGACCGGCCATATGGACTACCAGAACAAGTTCAGAGAGACGCTCAACAGAAAGACGGAGTTCGGGTCCGCAGAAGAAGGCGGAGACTACGTGAGTAAAAGTTTTACCACGTCGTATATACGTAGAGGTCGCAGTGTTTTGTAAACCGTATAAGTCGCGTGTATCCGGCCCTGCTAATGTTTTTATACATCACCCCGCCCTTGCCTGGTGGGGAAACTGGGTGTTGACTTCTTTGCAGAGTCGGGAAAGATGGCGTCTCATCCCAGCCAGGTAGCTAAGTAGCTAACGTGGCGGCATTATGAGGATGTATGACTTGGTAGGCAGTAGAGCCAGGCCTGGTAGGGGGGATCCATGTATTTGTTCCCATTGGCTGTGTGTAAATATTTAGATAGAGGGACGGGTAGCCATGTGTTGATCTGTCGTGTAGCTATAGGTGGGGTTCGAGAGAGAGGGTAAGACTTGCGCAACTTATCATACTCGGCAATAACTGCTGACCTCCAGGTAGCAACTAAACTTCTCTGGTTGTATATGCAGATCTTAGATCTGTATATAGCTATGTAGCAAGGAAGCAAAACTGCCTGGAAGTAGTATACTTTCAGCACCTGAGACAGCTCACATTTAGCTTTAGCTGCTGTGCACACAAGCAGGTGTTCATTTCAGCTTCAGAGAATCGATATGGCTGTATTATGTAAGATTACGTCAGACTGACTGACTGCTCATGCTGTCCAGGACCTAGCTGAGATTGACAGCGATCTCCGGAGTTTCAAGACATGCGTTGACAGTATCGGAACTCCTCTGAACAACGACCAGAACAGGGCAGAGGTGAGGAGGCTCCGCTCTGTCATCAACAGGAGACTCAGGGACTGTAACTCCAAAGTCAGACAGAAGGGGAAAGGGTAAGGAGGGGTAGAGAGGAGGAGAGGAAAGAGAGAGGTAGAGAGGAGGAGAGATGTAGAGAGTGGGAGAGAGAGTATTTGATCATTTTATAGAGTGGAGGCTCAGCAGTTGTCCAAGCAAATCAACAACTATGTAGAGAAGTTCGAAGATCTGATGAAACAGGAGAAGGAGATGACCAGCCAACACCAACACTCTGTCAGCTACAACGGTACAAACCACTAATGCCATTGGGCTGCAGTGTCAGGCTCTATGCACTAATGCCATTCGGTTGCAGTGTCAGCTTGTACGCAGCGGTGCGTGTCTGTGTGTGTGTAAAGCTTGCGTGAGTAAATAGTGGCATGGTAAAACGTTTATTACAGGCTTGTATAGTCTACGACCACACCCTTTTCGTCTCTCGGTAACACTAGAGACCTTCACACATGAGATTAGGGAGCATGTGCCAAACCTCAAGCCTTGACACTCCCACTCCCATCCCTGTTTGTCCAACCGAACTACATACGTATATGTATATCTCTCGTGCACGAGTTACCTTCGAACAAAACTTTGATCGTAGAATCAGAGCTACTTGCCAGTGTATAGGTCAGTTGTTGAGGCATGCTACACCTGCTTGTTGTGTGACTAGAGGCTGTGTGTTTTTCAGTTTAAAAACAGTTTCACTTACGCGGAAAGCGACAGAGAACAGGCTTAGTTGCGTGTGCACACATTACTAGAAACTGCAGCAATTTTACTTCGTTTCCTTCTCTCGTTCTCTCTCCCTCTCTATAACCCCCTTGCTCTCTCCAGTTGTAGATTACTCATCTCCGCAGGGCTCAGAAGCACCCATCATACAGACACAGGCCACTGCTGCAGCCGATGTGGTTGCCATGGAGAAAGACGCTGCTGAACTACGGGATCTAGAGAAGTCAGTACATACCTGTAAGATGGTTGCACTCTATCTACTGCTGGATCCACTGCTTGCGGTAGATAATAGGCCCACCGAGGCCCACCAAAATGAAAGCACCATACTGGTTGAACTTTGTATATCTACTGAGACTCTAAAAGCTGGTCTTCCCAATTCCCTCTATATATCATCTACATTATATATAGAGTTCTCAGCTTGTCATCTATATGATATATATAGTGCTGCGATGTCTTCTGTATAGTGGATGTTATAAAGGGCTCTGTATGTGAGTGTTTATGTTTGTTGGACGATGTTTGTTGCAGGGATATTCTTGATTTGCATGACATCCAGAAAGAGATAGTGAACATGGTACAAGACCAGGGAGAGACTGCTGACCGCATCGGTAGGTCTGGTCTCTCTCTCTCTCTCTCTCTCTCTCCCTGCTTGCTTGCTTGAATAAACTCCCCTCCCTCTTCCTCCATACCTCTCTCACAGAGGTGCAAGTCAGCCATGCTGCTAACAGGGTTGAAAAAGGACAGAAGAGACTAGCTGATGTAAGTTAAACCTCTACTTACTCGCTCTCCCTCGCACTCTCTCATCTCCTCTCCAACAGACTGTAATCCTGAAGTCACGAAAGAGGAAGCTGTGTATTGCCATCTCACTGCTGGTTGGGATTCCTATTGTAATCATACTGTTGATCATCATCATCGTTCTAGCTGTAGTTATTCCCAAAGAATAACATTTCCCCTTCTGTGTCATGTCCCGTCATTATTATGTTTTTCGGGTTTTCCCGTGGTTCATTACGTAATTCCTCGTAGTGCGCATGCGCGTCACTAACCCGATTTTGGTTCTGCGGCGTTTGTCGTCTCTCGCTACTTGTGGTACAGAAGGGGCCGAGGAGCAAGATGTATGGCGCCATTGATGATGCGATGTCGGTGAGCTGCAATAATATGTTCATATCAAAACCAAGCGTAAATTTTCTGTGCAAATAGTGGCCCGATGGCAGTTAGGTCGGGCACAAGATAATGGCGCTGGGACGATGCATTAGTGTAGCTGTAATGTCCAGTAATGCCCATGTCTTTAATTAATGTAGCCGTAAAAGTACTGCGATGGTGTATTAGAAGCTAGTCAATGCACAATCATTAGCTGTATGCACGACGCAATGATCGTGCTGTCACAGCCGCCGAACAATAGCGGAGAGTAGTTTTTCCAAATTCTGCCGAAACACGTTACTGTTATGGGACTGTACCGTGTAGTGCGTAGACACCTGACATTTATAGCTAAACAATACGAAATGAAACTAGTCGTGTTTTTATCTGGGAGTGCAGATCAGATAACTACATGAGTTATATAATGTATTATAATAATAGCTATTGCAACCTCGTCTTTTGTGCAAAGCACATACAATATTTTGGAGACTTGAACAGGTAGCAAAACTCTTGTTTAATGTGAGTTAAGACACGTTTCCTCTGTCACTGGTAGGAGACGAGTGAGATGCAATGGGACTGAGAAGGCGAGTCTCCAGAGCATTGGTTCAGATCTGGTGACACTCAGAGGCCACCTGAACAAGCTGGGCAGGTCCCCCGAGCCCACATCTCTGAGAGAGACCATCAGAAACCTCCGCAGCCAGCTCAAGAGGAAGATCTCAGAGGAACAAGTCAGGCAGTCCAACCTCCTGGAACAACTCAGTGGAGACAAGTAAGGCACCGAATTTTCAGTGGTATGAACACCAAGAGTTTCCTGCTGCAAACTAGAAGAAATTCAGGTTACCTATAGTTAGTTTCCAAGCCTTCTCAGTTTAGCTATATACAAGAGCTGGCAAGTTGGCGTATATGCATAGAAACTATATAGTAGAAATGGCTTATGCTGAGTCAAGACAAAACATGCACCCCAAACAAATTCAGATGTTCATGCACCAACTCCTAGCCACACACACATTAGCTAGTTTAAGCATTCTCATTGCCGAGTTATTCTAGCTATATATAGTGTGTGTGTGTGGTGTGTGTTGTAGAGATGAGTTGGGAGAGGAGCAAAAGAGAGATTGGCAGCAGCTGCAGGCATATGTGAGTCAACTCTACCACCTCATGGAGGAGGAGAAAGGTCGCCTCCAGCCACACCCCCATACCGGAGGTCAGAGTTCTACATTTGATAGTAGCCTCAGTTAGTTCCTCCTCAGGCAAAAAATTTTCACTGTGTACAGCAATTTTACTATGTTTTCTCTCAGAACTAACTTCTTCTGTAATGGGTGTAAACATCTGCATGCATGGAGACTATGTAGTGTTCGAATGAATGATAACGATGGGGGTTGCCTCTCTGACAAATGAGTCACTGTTGTCTTTGGTCATTGTGTGTCTTCATTATCCATTACATCATAGTGAGTGTTGGTCTTTTTAGAGGGAGATGAACCAGACTTGGGAGAGAACCTCCTACAAGCCCTTCCTCTAAGCAACGCAGCACAGGCTGAGGGAGATGCAGCTGATCTCGACGAAATACAGAGGTAGTTTTCCCGCCACTTTTATCACAATACACTTGTTGCATATAGGGCCAGTTGCGTTTTTATTTCCTAGGGATATTACTGATCTTCTTGAGATTCAGAGCAACCTGAATAGACTGGTCCACGGGCAAGGCAAAGACATCGATCTCATTGGTATGTGGAACTAGTGTAGCTCTAATACATCTACAACCAGAATCTCTGTGTCTCTCTCTCTCTTCAGAGGCCAATGTGGGTGTGGCTCACATGAGAGTGTCGAGAGGACAAAGGCCTTGGGAGAGGTAGGTCTCATTCCCATACTTCATTCCAACATGACTATCAGACTCTGCTAGACCACACCCACACTCCCCTAGCACCATGTGTCAACTTAACTTGCTAACTCTGAAAAAGGGATGCCCTTATGAGGTAGCTCCTATTCTAGGGATAATCTATAAAGAGAGGTGTTCTCCGTAGGTTATACTGTATTTCATTGATTTGCAGGCAGCAGTACTGCGAGGGTCATCTCGCAGGAAGAAGTGTTGCATTGCACTGTGTGTCCTGGTGGCCATTGCTGTTCCTGTCATCATACTAGCCATCCTCATACCAACACTCATTCATATTCTATCATCATAATGACTATAGCTCACATTCAAGACTAGGAGACATGCAGGCTATGCCAGCTACACTACCTATGTACCTAATTGACTTTTGGAGTTATATTTCTTACCTATAAAGATGAAAGCTAGCTATACACTTCAGCGCATGCGCACAGCTAGGTCTTACGTCATCTTACGCCACGCCTATCAACCACTTTCCTTGACGACCTCATTTTGCGAGAGGGGTGTGTTTCGTTCAGTTGTTGGAAAGAAGTTATTCAAGTTTAGGCTGCCGCGGAGCCCTAAAGCCAGTACTGTAGCGACTAATAGTTTTCGCTTGTCGCTTCGTTTTCAAGAATGTGTAGTAGACAGAGGTAGTAGCGACTGTTGCGAGTGACCGAGTTTCCAGCTAGCTAGTAGGTGAGGGCGCCCCTCCAGCAATGGACAAGGAAAAGACAGCAATGGCGCCCCCTTCCCCCTCGTCTCCCGACTTCACTAACAAGAAAGGTAAGCTGACTGACGTCTCTACTTTATACTATTTTTAGCAGCTGTCTTCACCCCAAACCAAATATGGAAAGGCAGAAACAAAGTCGCCAGACTAATACCGTAGGCAAGGGGTTAAATCATGTTTGCGAAGCAGTGAGTAAAGGGTTAATTTGGTGGTTGAGGGGTTAAAGAGAGAGGGTTAAATGTTGTGTTTTTGTCTCTGGTGTGTAGATATGATGTTCACCAGAAACAATGTCCAGAGAGCTGTCAGGAACGTGAGGGAGACTGATCTTCTGGGGGCTGGTTTGGGTGTCCCTCGAGGAGACAGAGGGAAATTGAGAGTCAGTTCAGAGGAGATGAGGGACGACGAGGTGGAGGAATATGTCACCTACTTCATGGACCACGACCCACTAGCCTCCTGGAGACGAGTTATTGTTGTTCTTGATATGATGAAAGGTATGGAGAGAAAGAGGGTGCAGATAAGATACGACATCTGGCAGAGTCTGTCACAGGTGAGGACAGGTGTAGCTAGAGACTGTGTGTGTGTTGACTGTTGTTTCAAGTCCTGACTAGAGACATGGGAGCACTGCATGTCTCCTACAGTTGTCCTCTCGTTCATGTTCCTCCATTGATGAGAGATGATGTTGTATCTGACGTGGTTACTGATGTGTGTATTGCCATGTTATGTCCTACTCTCTGTGCAGACCCCACACTCACTATCAACAACCTCCGTCACGTCACCTCTTCAGTCCAGGACTGGTATCGATCTGGGGAACTATGACTATGGTCTTGGTGTTCCTGTTCCTGTGCTGAATGAGATCAAGGAGGATCCTGCCCTGACAGAGGAGGAGAAGAGAACAAAGTTCCTACTCTACTTCCTCCACAATGTCCCCGATGGCCTCCTGGGAGAGAGTTGCAGGAGCACTGTACTACATGAAGGAGGAGAGGGCATTACAGGCAGTGAAGGAGTTCCTCCCAGTCTCACCAGGTCAGTCTGCAGTATAGCCAGAGCCCTATTATGTAGAACTGGTATTCATTTTTGATCCCCCATGTTACTGTGACTTTTTACGAATGTCCAACGTCGCCACATAATTAGTGACATTCCACACAAGCCTATGTAAACACCATGTGTGTATAATACTCAGCCATTGGAATGTTGGATGTGCTCTTGTCTGTGGAGAGATACATTTGCACCATTCTTCATAACTTACGTGTAATCTGAATAGTTATTTTGTTTGTCGCCCAAAGAATGCTAAGAATTTCCACTAGTGGACTATGTACTGTTCACTCCCTCGCTCCCTCTCTCTTCGTTTCTCCTGTTGTGTTCCCAGAGGCCAGTCTCACTCCAGAGAACCTCTCCACAGTTCTAGACATCATGAGTGACCATCTGTGGAGGACGTTTTGTAGATTTGCCAACATACCAGAGTCTGAGATGGACAGGATCGAGCGAACAGTGTACCAGTGACAGAGAGTGCAAACAGGCCCTCATTCACTCCTTCATCTCCTCACATCCAGCACCATCCTGGACTCTGGTGGCATGGGCTCTCTACATGACTGAGTGGTGGGGGTATGACGGCAATGGTGATGAGACAAGCAGTTGTCTCAAAGCATTGAATCTTCTGCAGCAGCTCTTCCCTACTGGTATAGCATTTGTGGTTTACCCACATCTCTTCAACGTGATCATTCTCTTAAGTCTAACTTCCCCGATGGTGTATGTACGATGTATAATACTTGTATGTGAATTCCCCCATCAAACATTCTCTGCCTCACTCCATGCAGGGAGATTCCGCTCCAAACAGATCTACGAGCAGGAGATGAAACGAGGCCACATTGAGCTGGACCTGGACAAATTGCTGCTGTTTGGCACGGCTGGTAGTGGCAAGACGTGCTCCCTCGCTGCACTGCTCGGAGTGGACCCTCCCACCATCCGATGCAGCACTCCACTCATGAAAAGACCCATCGAGGTCATGTTCGTGGACGTCGACGGCAAAAAACAGTGGAAGATTCGACCACTAGACAAACTGCCAGACGCCATCGCTGAAGTAATTCGGTCACGAATGCTGCAGCAACAGTCAGTGGCACAGAGCAGTGATGGCCCAGCCTCCCCCGACCAGCAGTCTCCCCACACCGCAGCCAGCCAGTCAGCTCAGCCAACTCCAGAGAAGACGAGTAGCTCCACGTCTGAAGCAGCCGGGAAGAGCACAGCATCCTCGGAGGAGAAGCCCAGGGCCAGAGAGCGGCAGGAGGCAGAAGGGAGGCTGGATTCCTTGCTGCTGTCGACTGCGGTGGACGAGGGGTTTGTACATCTCATCAACAGTGCTCCTCCCTCCCTGGAGCCCATCATGCGACTGAGGCAGATGTTTGTGCTGGACTCTGGCGGCCAGCCCGAGGTTCT